CATGAACATCAACTGGCAGTCAGAAGACATGCCAAAAATTAATTTCACAACATATAGACAGATTTAGTTTCAAATGGGAAAATGTGACAATCCTAGACCAGGCCAAATCCAAAAATGGCAGGGAATTTCTAGAAGCCTGGCACTCTGACAAATCAGCCATCAATAGACACAGACATTAACAACATCTACAGACTTTGCAAAAACCCAAAAGAGAACAAAAAGGCTCCAGCACCTCTCCACCAGTCATCAGCAACCAGATCAGCATAGATTAACTCCAAGGTTAACTTCAGACCAAGGAAAGTAAATAATATCCCAGTCAAGGAACTGCAAAAGAGCCATCAGTAAACAGCCCAACCAAAGAATCTCTAAGACCACCCACACAGACAAGCCAGTCATCAGAATATAAACCAGGGGTGAAATCCAAACTTTTTCCCTACCGGTTCTGTGGGCGTGGCTTGGTGGGTGTGGCAGGGGAAGAATATTGCAAAATCTCCATTCCCACCCCATTCCAGGGGAAGGATATTGCAAAATCTCCATTCCCACCCCACTTTGGAGCCAGCCAGAGGTGGTATTTGCTGGTTCTCCGAACTACTCAAAATTTCCACTACCGGTTCTCCAGAACTTGTTAGAACCTGCTGGATTTCACCCCTGATATAAACTGACAGTAAACAGCATTCCTTACTAGCACGGATGATATTACCTAGTGAAGAAAGTTAGCACCCACCCCTCTTAGAAGAATGAAATATTTTAGGAAATATTAAAAAAAGGCAGAATATTATATTTCCCTGGATGAGAAATTGAGAAACATGCTCTTGAAGACAGAAACTCAACCCCAGTTCCCTGCCCCCAGCAGATATTTTGGTGGCAATTTATCTACAAGACAAAAGATTAGACCAGCCTATCTACAAGACAATTAGACCTTCAGCTCCAGGCCAATGGGATTAAGACATGATCCTCAGGACATAATAAGATTAGCCCTCTACTCATCTAGCAACAGAACTCATCACATGGCATCTGGGGATTACATCGCAGCCCAAGGTTCAATCAAACTTCATCCAGACAGACTACAGCCTACAAAATTACCCCTGCATAGCCCCCTGTGACATTTCTTGCACAGGAACAGGAAGCTCAAGGGCAGGGCCCAAGAGAGGGTATAAATAACTCTCACTCTCCACTCCATGTGGTCAGCTATCCAGAATCACATGTGTTTGGTGGTTCTGCTTCACCATTAAACCATCCTTCCAAGCAACCTCCATGTTTTCAGTCTCTTTCTCCCCACTTGGAACTGAACCCAGATAGTCATTTCTTCCAACACTAGTTTGGGTAATGAAATGTCTGTAAGAAAACAAGCAAGCTCAGAGAGCACCAAAGACCCTTCAAAAAGTAAGCTACTTGTGCAGCTCGCTAAGATACAATTGAAATGCTGTACCTAAATCATGAATTTTGTCACAGCATAAATGCTCTTTCATATCTCAGCTATTGGATGGGATATAAATAGAGAAATCATAAGTGATCCATGTTATTTTATATACCACACAGAAGTACATCCTTCTCTTTCCATCCTTATTATCCCTCCAAATCCTTAATACATTTATAGATGGTAAGACCCATTTCTGCATAAACTTTAACAGGATAGTATTGAATATCCATTTTTATGAGGTTATCCTTGAGTGGATAGATATTATCAGTAAATTGGAGAAATCAGTCTACACATCTGTGTATAACTGTATTTACAACTCTTTCCCTTAAGAGTGTAAAGAAAATGTAGAGGAAATCTAAGTCAATTACTTGGAGAGATGATTCAACTTACCGTAGATGTCTTTTAAAGCAGACTGAACTCCAGATCTGAAAACCAGATTCTCCTGAACCTGTGTTAGAATTTCAGAAGCTAACAAAAATAAGTACATTCATTGCTGGACAAATGAAGAATTATAATTTTCTCTTATTTTCCTACATATTTTATGCTTATATTTATATTTAATTAATCCCTTTCACTGGATTATTTTTAATAATTATTAAAAATTATTTTTAATCCAGTTACTAACCAGTCAATGATGTCTTTTTAATACTTTATTAGGTTGTTTAGCTATGGTTAGATGTAGTCAGACATTTGAGCCAAAAGCCATGCAACTGATCATTTCCAGGAGATGTCTGGTTTCTAATACTTTTCATTCAAATGTTAACCATTCCTGATGTTATTATTAGTTGTTCCATTTGATTTTTTAAAATTCATCTTCAAATTCTTTATTCATCCAGCATGTTTTTGTTGTTGTTGTTGTTTCCCAAACATCTTTCCAAATCTGGAACCAAACCAAAACCTTTTTGTTTGGTTTTCCATTTTCAGAATTTCTATTACTTTTTATACTTCAGTAGAATCGCCTCTGGTCTGATTGAATTCACTATTTTGTTTAAATCGGATGATTCATACCTCATGGAGTTCAATTTTCCAACTATTGCTGTTATATGTTGCTTTCCAAACCTTCTTCACTTTTTCTGGTGCTAAGCCAATTTTTTTTTTATTAAGCTTGTCTTGATCCTTCCATTCTTCACTTGGAATTACTTGAAATTACTTGCATCTGATATTAAGTTCTTTATTTTGGCCTCCAGTCTGATCTTCCACTTTGGGATTGAATATGTTTTTTGTTTTTCAATTTTTTGATACCTTGTTCTTCTGTATCCACCACTATTGTACTGCAGGCGAGGCATTGCCAACTCCAGAATGGCTCTGGGAAGCTCAAAACAGCCAAATAAAATATAATATGAATAAGAAAAAAGCCTCCAAGAAAAATAAAGAATGAGTGGAAATGCATACATTCAATGATACATAATGCTGTGGAAAAAGCAGTAGACTTGTACCTAGTTGATTTCTATCTTTCTTTCAAAGCTTCAATTTTACTTCAGGTATGTTATATTACAGTAGATGCAATCACACTTTAAAATGTATTTTGCCTTAGCATACACATCCTAGTTGATAGATCTATTTAAATGCTGATAACAATACCCAGACCAGAGAACCGAGCAGAAATATATTTCTTTGAGAAATGAATCATATGTTTTATCAGATGAAAGCAAGAATATGTTCTTCTCATCCCATATTTTCTTATAAAAGCATGTCACATGATTTCCTTGTCTTTACAGAGTCTAGATTTGGCAAACTCAAACCTGGGACAAATGTCCTCTAAATTCTTGCAATAAAAGGACACGTGTGTCTATTTTAAAATACACTGACTTTGCTTTTGGGCTTGATTGACGTATCTCCCAGCTCTTCCTGTTCTTTCTATTTCAGGCACCTCTGAGTTTGGATTATCTGCAAATGAACAGGAGTATTAGCATTGTCATCTGTGAAATGCTGGAAAGTGTGCATCCCTCTAGCACCTGATTTTCATCCTCAGATTATGAAACAGAAGATAAAAGGAAAGATGGTGTGGATGGGTCTGTCTGTCTGTCTGTCTGTCTGTGCAAGCGCACGCAGGATGTTGGGACTTGAATTTGGCCAGACAAAGATCATGCCAACTAGCACTGGAGTAGCATCATGTTGACTAGGACTGGCTATGGATAATGAAGAATGCATTAGGCTTGTAGAAATTATTCTACATCTTCATTAATACTAAAGTGAGTATTAAAGGAAGAATCCTAACAACTATAAATATGTTAGTTTGTTAGCTTAATTCAATCTCTACATATACAGTTAGGCATATTTTCTGCTATTTTCTTATTCTTTGCCTAGAAAAAGGAAGGAAGGAAGGAAGGAAGGAAGGAAGGAAGGAAGGAAGGAAGGGAAAGATATAATCACTATGCTATGGAAAACTACTGATCCTATTTGAAATTATGAAGGGAATTCCTAGTAAGTAGCTCAATTATCATCAAGTTGAAGTAAATATCTGGCCAAGCATCAAGTCATATTACCTTCAATACAATTAACTAAGTTAAGTCCAGAATCTTTGCTTTTATATATATCAGTGTATCAGATTATCAATTTATATCAGGTTGATATAAGTAATGTTTTTATATAGTTGGAGAAATTGTTCCTGTGAGCATCATGAATCAATTGGTTGCCTGATCATATTATATGTAGGTGCAACAGCATAAATCTCTGCAAGATTATACATTCCCAGATAAAAATGTTGCCAAAAGCAGCCCAGGGATCTGACTTTGATTAACACACAAGCTACAAATAAGTTTGTGTTGTTTGAATTAAGAATTGTAAAACTGAATCCCACCCTCTGCACTGCAGCACAGACGTAAGGTTTCTTGGTAACCTACTTGGTATTATTTATTTAAAATATTTATATATCACTTCTTATCTCAGAGCAGTTCAACAATCTAATATGTAAGCAATAGTAAAACAATGAGTTAAAATAATAAATATTACACAAGTGCACTGAAAACACACAGAGAAAAGAAAAAAAAGTATCTATGGAGAGAGAGAGATGTGGCAGTCATACATGGAAACCTGACTGAAAAGATGTCCTTATATGACAGCAGAGATACAGCATGCTTTCAGAGGTAAAACCTGAACTAGAAAATAACTTTTAAGTTGTAATAACTGGAATATTGCTGAATTCTTTTTTATTTAAACATTTTATTTCCAACCAAAATACATATGAAATTACAGCAATTATATTAGTTCAATGCATCCCCTCTGATATTAACAGCGCTGTTTGTCAGGATGGGCTCTTGTATCTTCCCCGCAGTCATTGCAAACAGTGTGACTTGTTTCATTACATGTTTGTTTTCATCCAACAACAACAAAAAACCTTTTTTTCCCCTTGTAAACTAGATTGATTCAGTTAGATTAACAAGAGTGTATGGAATTTGGTTGTGGGTTCCTTAGCCCCACTGCGAACCAGTAGTAAAGGTAAGTAGAAGCCACCCCTGGCCGGCAGGCTTAGTTTTTACTCAGTCTGGTCAGGCTTAGTTTGGGCCCAGTCTACATTCTGCTGACTGACTAATTGGAATGAGCAGCTTCAGGGATTGGGGCGTGGCAATCAATCAACAAGGGCCTTTCAGTTCAGCCCAATGAAACAAAGGTAGCAACCTCCCCTTTTATTGGCTGCTGCTGTTGCTGCCTCAATCCCTGAAGCAGGAGGCTCCTGTGGCCAGTCCAGGCCTAGGCCTGCTGGCCACATGGCCCCAGCCGAAGTCTTTTATTCAGAAGCCGGTGAAAATGTTTTCGTTAGATTTCACTTTCTTACAGCTTCACCATCATCTGAATAAAAGACTTCGGCTTCTCTGTCAATGGGTCAGCCTTTTCTGGACCTCTGGAGATCTTCAAAAAAGTAAGATCTTCAAAAGTAAGTAATAAATGGCATGATTAATATTTCCATTATTTCAGTGGGAAGTAAACGTAATTATGTAAGCATTAATGTAACCCATTAAGATTATGTTTAAAAATATAAAAGCACTATATGTTTAAAATGTCCCTGATTTGCAACTAAATCATTTATGTCCATCCTTTGGTTTTTGTAGCAGATTGTACATTTTTGTTTTGATAAAAGCAAAATGAATATTCATTGAGAATCAATCTGTTTCTTCAGAGTAGTTCCTCTCTCACCATCCTCTAAAGCTCTATTCCTTAACTGATTTTTCTTAATACTTTGTCTATTTAGAACAACATAAAGGAAGCAGAAAAAAGGCAACAGAATTCCTAAGGGAACATAATCCCTACAGCTATATAGAGACCTTACAGTGGTCTAAATTACCACAGTAAAAAGCTAGTACAATGACTTAAAAATACAGCTATTACTGTTTCCAAAAAATATATAACAGCACTTGCTAAAATTTTAGAGGCCTTGGATGGTCTGCTCCAGCACTAGGCTAAGGTGACCAGACGTCCCGCTTTTGGCGGGACAGTCCCGCTTTTTAGCAATTTGTCCCGCGTCCTGCGGCGTTTCAAAAAAGTCCCGATTTTTCATTCTGCCTCCTCAGTCCCGCTGCCTCTTGAGCCCCAGCTGATGGCTAGAAGAAAAAAAAACTGTTTAAACTCTTGCCCGGGGCTTCAAAGGGCCGCCCTACAGGCAATCAGTGTAAAGGGTTCCTGAAGCAGTTTTTTTTTCCCCTAGCTAAGCTGCAGAAACGAAACCGAAACCAGGATCTTTGGTGGAACGTGACAAAATGAGGCAGAGAGAGATTTATTTTTATTTTTATTTTTCCTCCCCAAAAAAGGTAGGTGAAAAACTGCAAACAATGGGAAATTTAGGAGGAGAGTTCAAGATTTTAAAACACAAAAGAAAAAAAAGCTGTATTTAACTAGGGAATTGTAATAATTGAATTGAGATACTATTAATTGTATATTGTGTTGAAAGCAGAAATGTTTAAGTTGTGGTTCAGAGGAATATATGGGGGAAATTATTTGGTTTATTATTATTGGTAAATATAATTAATTGATTTGTAAGAAATTGGATTGCATGGAAATAATTGGAATATTCATGTTCATATTGATTAATATACAAAAAAGATAGTTTTATAACTAATTGATTTATATTAAAATGTTGAATTTGTATTAAACAACTGTATTACATAATTACATAATTAAACAATGTGAGGATGGATATAAAAATAGATGACAATGGAAAGGGGTATAATATAGAATAGAAGGGAAAAATTGAATTTGATTAAGATTAGAGATGAGGATGAAGGGTAATATTGGTTTTTTAAAAAAAATAGATGAGGAATAAATATGGCAAAAAGGAAATATAGAAATTGTAAATTTAATTGAAGTGACTAAACACTGTTTAAATTTGTGAACCGGCCAAATACTCTGTTCAAAGAAAATAAATTGTATGTTTGTATGTGTGTTTCTAATTACTGCTATTTATTCATATTTGTTCTCTTTTATTCTTTAAAGTTCAACCATTCATTCTTTATCTTAATATCTTTATATTTGTTTGGGGTTGGCTTTCTTCCCTTTCATCTTTTTTATTGTACAGCAATCTTTCTCCTCAAACCTACCACCTCTCTCTTTTCTTTCCTTCTTACTTTCTCTTCCCCCCCTCTTCTTCTCCTCCCTACTTCCTCTTCCTTTCTCCTTCTCCTCTCTTCCTCCCCCTCTTACCCTCACTCCTACTCTAATTTCCCTTCCCTTCCTTCATCCCTCTCTATTGCTGTATCCTTTTATGCATATGGACTACTCAGAGGGCTGAAAAAGTTATTTTTGACTGGTCCTCGCACTTTTGACCAGTCATCGAATTTACGACTGTCTTCACATTTTATGTTTTTTGCCCTATCTTATCACCATGGTGAAGAGAAGCAGTTGTGAAATGAGTGACATGGTTGTTAAGGATGCTGCATGGGCATAAATGTGAGGATGGTCATAAGTGTGAGGACCAGTCAAAAGTGCGAGGACCTGTCAGAAATGACTTTTTTCAGCCCTCTGGTTAGTCCTTTTGTGCATATGGACTACTCAGAGGGCTGAAAAAGTTATTTTTGATTGATCCTCACACTTTTGACCAGTCCTCGAACTTACGACTGTCCTCACATTTTACGTTTTTGCCCTATCTTGTCACCATGGTGAAGAGAAGCAGTTGTGAAATGAGTGACATGGTTGTTAAGAATACTGCACGGGCATAAATGTGAGGATGGTCATAAGTGTGAGGACCAGTCAAAAGTGTGAGGACCTGTCAGAAATGACTTTTCAGCCCTCTGAGTAGTCCCTATACACATAGCCATGGCCACCCGGTCACATGACCAGCTAGCCAACGCCCACCCAGTCACATGGCCTCCAAGCCACGCCCACACAATAAGTCACGCCCACAATGGTGTCCTTCTTACCAATGTTAAAATCTGTTCACCTTACCCTATACACATAGCCATGGCCACCCGGTCACATGACCAGTAGCCACGCCCACCCAGTCACATGACCAGCTAGCCACACCCACAAAATAAGCCACGCCCACAATGTCCCTCTTTACCAATGTTAAAATCTGGTCACCTTACACTAGGCCCCACATGCTGTTCCCCCAGCCTGAGATACCTCATGTTCATTTAAAGACCTGCACATTCGATTAACAAATGCATTGGGGAAAGCAGGGAGTAATCACGTTCATTTACGTGATTTAATCAAACGAATTGGCAGGCTCCATTACATTTGTAACTGGAGGATTACCTGTATAATGAGAGTGAGGGAGGGTCTCTGGGAAGTCCTGCTTAGCACCACAAATCCCGTGTCACGACCACCCTGGCCACGACCACCCAACCACACCCACCCAGCCAGTCATTAGGACAGAGAACCAGTTGTTAAAAAAATTGCAGCCCACCACTGGGTCAGATCTTCCCTCTGTATGTTATTACAAATGCATCAACAGTGCCTGTAGCTGGTAATCCTTTCTATCTTCCAACCAAATAGGCTGTTGCATTGCTTGAAAGTGAAGTTCTGTAAAGGAATGGGCTGAAGTTGCCTCAAGGAATGGGCTGAAAATTAAATCCAGTGGGAGGAACATTTGGAATTAATCTTTGCAGATCAAGAAATGAAGAAGTGATCTGAAAAACAATGGTTCATTCCGTTTCAGATCTGCACAGCACAGGAAGATCAAGTTACTGTATCTGCAGGGCCTGGCAAGCCGTCTGCAGAAAACAGAACTGCAAGCATCTGCCTCATGGAGGAAATTATCCCCATTCCACGCCAACTGTTTAATAAAACACAACAAGGGACATTTGCTTTTTTGGCTGCATGTGAACAATTCTATTAATATATGTATGATATAAAAATTATACTGGGAGCACATCACAAGCTACAAAGTAACCTCTACAGACAGTTTTGCAGCAAGATGTTAACAAACTTCAACATTTAACAGAAAATTAATCCAAACGAAGCACAGAGGAGGAGGAAAGATAACAAATTGCAATAAAATTATTAATGAAGAAGAGGCTCAAATCATTCATTAAAGCCAAAGATTCAGATTTTTTTTTTAATGTACAATAAGGATTATGTACCAATAAGCAGATATATTATATTGCTCTTTGAAAAGACCTGTGGTTTATTTAAAAAGAGAGGTCTATGATAAATGCAATAAATAAAATAGATGTATTCATTGCTTTATAAATAAATAAATAAAGTCGTAATGCAGTAATGTATTATTTCAGACTTAAACAGGATGTCATAGAACAGGCATGTCCAACTTCAGCAACTTTAAGAGCTAGCCATGCTGGTTGAGGAATTCTGGGAATTGAAGTCCACAGGTCCTGAAGTTGCCGAAGTTGGACACCCCTGCACTAGAAGGCCCTTTACACCACCAAGAGATCACTTTCCCAGTTAGCAGGCAATACAGACATCATTTTTTAAAAAAAGAAATAAAGATTAACATAGTTAAAATCTTTGGAGATCATCAAATACCACACAAACACTTAGAAATCTCAGAAGATTTGGCCTCTTAGATTTTAATTTATGTCTGAGTTTGGTGTTAATTAGAGTGCAAATTAAGGGTGCCATCTCACTGATCTCCACTCTAAACAATTATAAAGAATTTAAGGGGAAGCTGAACAAAAGTTTGTTTGAATGTGTCTGGTGATCAAACAAGAGACTGGTGATCAAACAGTAATGGCTTTGTGAGGGCCATCTGTAGCTGGAATTCACCATAGCAAATCAACAGCCTTGCAATAAGGTACATACATATGTTTATTTGATTTACTCATATTTTTATTCATTTATTCATTTATTAAATATTCATTTATTCATATGTTCAAGCAATCTAACTGAAAAAAGCAGTGTCGCATAGTTTTCCAGGGTTTTTTCCCCTTATTCATTCACTTAAAAGAGAGTAAGAAACAATTTGAGGCAGCCTTTATCAGAACAGTTAAATAACTTCACGTCCCCAGCTCCAAATCTCCCTAATTGTTTTATATTCTTTTGCAGATACAGACTGACTCAAAAGTAACTAACAATTTTTTTCCCCTCTCTGCTAATTTGGATCTTCAGGACAGCCCTAAATAAGAAAGTGTTAACATACAGAGAGTCCTTGACTTACAACCACTAATTTTTGTGACCATTTGAAGTTACACCAGCATTGAAAACTGACTTATACAGTAGGATTGTTTTTCACACTGATGGCCATTACAGCATCCCCATGGTCACGTGATCAAATTCAGACGCTTGGCACCTAACATGTATTTATGACAGTTGCAATGTCCTGGCATCATGCGATCACCTTTTGTGACTTTCTGACAAGCAAAGTCAACAGGGAAGTCAGATTCACTTAACTGTGCTACTAACTTAACAATTGCAGTGATTCACTAAACAACTGTGGCAAGAAAAGTCACAAAATGGGGCAAAACTCACTTCGCAGTTGTCTTGCTTAGCAATGGAAATTAGGGGTTCAATTGTGATTGTAGGACAGGGATTACCTCAGGGATGGGTTCTACTTACCTTTACTACTGGGTCGCAACGGGAGCACACACACGCTTCTGTGTATGCACAGAAGCTTCTGCGCATGCACAGATCACCCATGATGACATTGTGGTGGGTGGGCGGAGCTTCCCGCCGGTTTTACTACTGGTTCTATAAAACCGTACCAAACCGGGAGCAACCCACCACTGGACTACCTATATATGCATACTTAGCCTATGTATTTCGATGTTTCTAAATATAAGAACTACCCGGTACTACTATCTAAGAAAGTTGAGAAAGGGCTTAAAGTTACACAGGTTTGCATTCATTCATCAGTTAAACCCACAACTCTGCTGGGTTTTCTTGTATTAAGTAAATATTTCGGGGGTTTTTCTTCCTTTGGCTTCACCAAGAGTTTTCTACAGTAAAAAAAATAATAATTGTCCCAGACAATTCTTTTCAACAATCTTCCAGGAACCAATCCAACTTTATCGGTTTTACAAAGTGAGCACCGTAACTTCAATATCCAAATGTTGTCTAAATATGATGGAATATAGTCCAGAGTCACAGGAGGGAGGAGCTGTTTCCCAGAGAGCACAGAGACAGTGAAGCCTGGATTCCTGTTGTTATGCAGAAAAAGGATGGAGGCAATCCTCCCTAGCAATTCAGAGAGAATATCTAACAGCAACTGAAGAGCAATCAAGAAGTAGGCTGCAGACTAGCACTTGGTAGAGTAGTAATGGAAGTCTTGGAAAAGATTCTAGATGTCAGCTGTGTCCATACCAACAAAATTTAGAACTGTAGAAAAAATGGTTTTCCCTGTCACATTCCATGAAAACTAAAGTTACACTTTAAAAATTAGGGTAGAAAAGGTAGCAATGCTTTGAACATTGATGTTAGAGAAGATTCCTTAGAATGCCATGTAGAGCCAAGAAAACGAAGAGGTTAAATCCAGAGTTGTCACTTATGGCACAAACAACATCCAATTATCATATTTCAAAAATATTATGTGAAGATAAAGCTCTTCTGAGTAATCTGTAATGGTGGGAAAGATGGAAGGAAAAAGAAGAAGAAAGGATAAGCATCATGGTGGATGGACTCAGTTACAAGTGCACCATCGGAAGACCTAAAGGTTGGGGACAGATTCTCCTGGAGAAAATTCTTCTAGGTGGTTGATGGCACATATATTGATTGATATGATAACTGGATGGCACAGAATTAACCAATCGGGTTCAAAAATGCTTCTTTAAATAAATGTACCAGATAATACACCGAATATCATATACCAGATTCAAGGCCATATCCAGTGGTGGGTTGCCCCTGGTTCAGATCAGTTCGCAAGAACCAGTAGTAAAACCGGTGGGAGGCTCTGCCCACCGACCCCGACGTTATCAGGAAGCTTCTGTGCATGCGCAGAAGCGTGCGCAAGAGTGAAGCACGCACACGCATGCGGCCCCATTGTGAACCAGTAGTAAAGGTAAGTACAACCCACCCACCCACCCACCCACCCGGACATATCAAGACATTTTGCTTGACATACGGTAAAGGTCAAAATAGGTTCTTCATGCACTGAATAATGGATGGAGTGTCAGTTAAATCTTAGGACATCAGTTTAATGGGTCATTCCAATTCTCCTACCTCATGTTCTCTAACAAGGGTAGTCATGAGGGAGGGAGGGAAGGAGTAAAGGAGGGAAGGAGGAAAAAAAGTTATACTGGCCTGGACAATGGACTAGGGTTAGTCCTTGAAACATGAAGTTATAGTGCAGTTTACTTTTATAGCAGAGCTATAGCAGTATTTAGAGGAGAAGGTGTCTTTCCAATTCTTTGTCATTTGTATTCAGCTGTTATGGTTCTTACTTAATAGTCTCCTCAAAAGTTTAACCTATATGAGAATCATGCATAATCTGCTGGCAATAATAATAATAATAATATTTTAAAATGCTTAAGACCCAAGCAAGAATTTACACCAATATGAAAGCCGGTGCCATGTCTTAGCATTAATTACATGTCTAATTCTGGATACAAGTAAATTTTTCAGTTAGATGGCAGCAAAATATGTTTCATTCTATCACCCAGCACATATTAATCATCAGCTTAAAAGCTTGGTGGCACACAACCTTTGAAGCTAAGCAAGTTATGTCATAATTGGTTCTCTCACTTCAGAAGGCTCAGTGGAAATATTCATAGCCTTTACAAAATTCTACGAAGTGGAGAAACTGCAGAGTAAAAATGGCATTAGGAGGGTGTAGCATCTCTATCTATCTATCTATCTATCTATCTATCTATCTATCTATCTATCTGCTTACTTTAGGGGAGGAGACTCTTATATAGACCTGGTTATCTACGGGACCGCCTGCTACCACCAATAGCCTCCCACCGGCCAGTACGCTCCCATAGAGAGGGGCTCCTCCAGGTGCCGTCGGCCAAACAATGTTGACTGGCGGCCCCTAGGGGGAGACCCTTCTCTGTGGGGGCACCTATGATCTGGAACGAGCTCCCCCTGGAGATACGGAGGATCCCGGATCTGCGCACCTTCGGTCGCGCGCTCAAGACTTTCTTATTTCATCAAGCTGGCCTGGCCTAAATCTTCTCCCCTTTTTAAATGTAAATTTTAATTTGTTTTTAAATTATGGGGTATTTTAAATTTGTTCAGCCAAATTATTTAATTAGTTTTTATTCTATTTTAAATTTTTGTATTTATGTGTTTTATCCTGTGGCTGTTCACCGACCTGAGTCCTTCGGGAGTAGGGCGGTATAGAAATTTAATAAAATAAACAAACAAACAAACAAACAAACAAATAAATAAATAAATAAATATAAAAGATGTGCAACAATCACAGGTGTAGTTTGCTCCATTGTCACACCTATGACTGTTATTCATCTGCACTACCACAACCATCAGGCTTCTATGCTAGGCTAGATCTAGGCAAGATATTACTCACAACTGGGTCTTTCTTTCTTTCTTTCTTTCTTTCTTTCTTTCTTTCTTTCTTTCTTTCCTTCCTTCCTTCCTTCCTTCTTTCTCTCTCTCTCTACTAGAAGGTTGGCTCTATATTGCTTACACATACACATACACACACATGCACAAACACACACACACACACACACACACTTAAAAACCCAAAACAAAATAAAACCAAGTGGCTCCACAGCATCCTATCCCAAGGCATGGGAAAAGAAGCAGGTTTTTAATACTTTTTTAAAAGTCATTACAGTAGTAGCAGTACAAATCTTTTGGAAATATCATTCCAGAGGGCAGGGGCCACCACCAAGCGGACAGTTTTCCTGGGTCCCAAAACATCCAGAGGTGTCAAACTCACAGCATCACGTGACATTTCATGAGATTTTTCCCATTTGTGGAGCTGGAGCCGCCAGTTTGACACCCCTGGTCTAATCAATAGAAGCCTTAGTACCAGAGGTGGGTTTCAGCAGGTTCTGACCAGTTCTGGAGAACTGATAGCAGAAATTTTGAGTAGTTCAGAGAACTGGTAAATACCACCTCTGACTGGCCCCGCCCCCATCTATTCTCTGCCTCCAGAGTCCCAGCTGATCGGGAGGAAATGGGGATTTTACAGTATCCTTCCCCTGCCACGCCCACCAAGCCACACCCAGAGAATTGGTAGTAAAAAAAATTGAAATCCACCACTGCTTAATACATCCATCTTCTGACCTCATTGGGTGGGGGGAACCATTCAGAGATAAGTATTCCTTCAAGTAGCAAAGACCCGTGACATGAA